ATTTTGTTATCGGATGGATGATAGAACTCATACCCTCTAGTTTCCTTGGGGTATCCCACAAAAATTACTTTATCAGATTTAGGCTCCAACTTACTAGACGTCATGGGACGTTTTACATAAGCTTCACAGCCCCAAATCTTAAAGTACGAGAAACTCGGTTTTCTCCCACGCCATAGTTCGTATGGTGTGCTCTCTATAGCTTTAGATGGAACTCTGTTGAGTGTGTGTGCTGCTGTTTTCAATGCATATCCCCAAAATGATTCTGGCAATGTTGTCAGACTAATCATGCTCCGGACCATGTCTAGCAAAGTCCGATTTCTCCTCTCAGACACTCCATTTAACTGAGGTGTCCCCGGAGGAGTGAGTTGGGATAAAATCTCATGCTCTTTCAGATAGTCATCGAACTCCAGGCTTAAGTATTCACCTCCTCGATCCGAGCGGAGGGTCTTGATACTTTTGCCTAATTGTTTTTCTACTTCGTTTTTGAATTCTTTGAATTTGTCAAAGCATTCCGATTTAAGTTTCATGAGATACACATATCCAAATCTACTAAAGTCGTCAGTAAATGTAACGAAGTAAGAATAACCACCTCTAGCTACAGTGCTAATTGGACCACAGACATCAGAGTGTATGAGGCCCAATAAGTCACTCGCCCTTTCACCGTGACCGGTGAATGGAGCCTTTGTCATTTTACCAAGTAAACAAGATTTACATACATCATATGACTGGAAGTCAAATAAATCAAGTACACCAGAACGATGTAACTTAGATATGCGTTTCTCGTTAATGTGGCCCAAACGACAATGCCAAAGGTACGTGAGATTCAAACTGTTAGGTTTGTTTCTCTTAACATCTACGTTACATATTGTGGTATCCATGTCAAGGACATAGAGACCGTTGGTTATTTTTGCACTTGCATAAAATATATCATTTCTAAAGATAGAAAGAGTTTTGTCTTTTACAACAAATGAAAATCCTGCTTTGTCAAGGCAGGATACAGAAATGATGTTTCTGCTCATGCTAGGTACAAAGAGACAATTATTCAAATGCAATATTAGACCACTAGGTAGAGATAAACTATAGGTTCCGACGGCCAATGCATAGACGAGTGCGCCATTGCCGACTTTTAGTTGTATCTCTCCCTCCGTCAATTGTCTACATTCATGCAAGTTCTGCATAGAAGTACAGATGTGAGAACCACATCCAGTATCCATCACCCAAGAGGTGATATGATATCAGACATATTGACTTCGATAACGTAAATACCTGAGTTTTGGGGTTGACCGTGGTAAAGGTCTCTTAAGCATTGTATCATAGGACGCACTTCCATGTCCGCGTGGAGCCTTTGGAGCTCCGCGGTCATACTGGCCATAATGATACACTTTTCATCTCGCGCGTCGTCCTCATACTTCTTGAAGGAAGTGAGTTCGGACGCACGAGCATTAGCATCAGGGGTCATGGGAGGATCCGTTTCGAGGATGTAGAGTTTCCTCTCACAGTTAAGAACGATTCGGAGGTTCATCTCCCAGTCAAGAAAGTTGGTCCCGGATAACTTGTTATTTTCCAGGATGTAACGCAGGTTGAAAGGGTTGTTGTTGTTTGCCATCTACAGAAAATTTTGCAAACTAGGTTATCTATCATCTTTAATAATTAATTAGGCCTTTAATTAATTATCTCCCACTATTTTTAACAAATCAATAACCCTCGATATTGATTCGGAGATTTCCGGCGAAACCTCTAGTGGGCCAAGATCCATATTTCATTATCTTGCGTTCCGCTTGGGCGTTACTCCACAAGACAACTATTTAGGTAGGAACATAGTTCCAACTGATGAGCCGGGCTCTCATCTCTTGGTCTGGTGTTGGGCGAACAATATTACTACAACCGGACCAGGACACCTTTTCACCGTACTTGTAATTGGCTGAGGCACGTCTTTCAAGCAGACTACTTTGGTTAGGAATAGAGTTCCAATTAAATCATAAAGATCCAACTCCTGGCTGGATGAGTGAGTAAAATCATCCGACTTGTCATTGATGACCCCAACTTACTGCCTCTGAGTCGTTCATCCATTTGACCGAGACTCAGTTAAGTCTAACCCAACGTGCGACAGCGACCACGTTATGGCGGTTCCCGTAACCAGCTTAACATACACCGTACTATGCTCTGCTGAGGCTGAGTACATGACAGTGCACATTAGCCGGATAGGTGCCGGGCGTCAGAAGGCGACAGACTTAATATTCGTGAGGGATTTATAATTTCGATCTCACCTATTGACATGGCCGCGCACATGTCCATTACTAGCGTTCAACATACATTCAACATGCATTCACAAAACCCAGTAAATAAACGTTTAATGATTGTGGCCCCTAAAAGAGAAATAAAACGATAGCTCCCACTGGCTTCCGGTCACTTGGACTTCGGGCTATCTCCATTCTTTTAGATTTCTTCAAACGGTCTTCAAATCTTTTCGTCTTCTAACCACCACGTAAGAAAAGAATCCTCGGTTGAGGTAAGGGAGAGAAATAGATTAACAACAGTTTATGAGATAAGGCACGACACGCAGGCCGTATTATAATCAAATAAACTATAGCCACAATCATCCACCATGCATATCATACATCCACACAAGCAATAGAGATATACATACACCGGGTGAACCACGCTCACCCCAGATAGTTCTAGAAAAAAACTACAGCAGTAAATATTTTCTAAAACTCATAAAATTAAATTAGATGTCCAAATAAATCAAATAAAATTTTATACAATCATTTTATATAATCTGGATATTTGGCCAGCATAAAAAAATTCCAGAATATTTCAAATGACCAAAATGCCCTTTTGCAAAATTATATTCAAAAGGCCATTAATATTTTGAAACAATTTTGCAAAAATCATGAAAATTAAATTTCAACTTGCAGTAGTTATTTTTAACATTTATAAACCTGGAAATAAAATTTCCAAAATTTATAAATCATTATTTCCAAAATATATTAGTTAAATCTCAATAAGTTATAAAAAGCCATTTAAATTGATTTCGAAAATATTAAATTAGAAAAATTTAATATTTTGAAAAATATTCTTTTTCTTAATGAGATATAACTTTCCAAAATATATATTAGTCATTTATGTAATTAAAATACAAATATATAAATATATATAATATTTCGGTAATAAAACCGAGTACATATATAAATATATATTTATTTAATTACTAACTAATATTATTTTGAACAATATATTTATCAACAACCTTATTCAACTTAGAAATAATATTTCCAAGTTTAATAAAGTTCATTTTGAATTTTCCCATATTTATTTT